TCTCCCTCGGCTGTTTTCGGCAGGGAAAAGGGGTTCACCGCCGCCCTGGCCCCTTTGGGGCAGCCGGGGCAAGGCTCTGCCTTGAGGCCTCCCGCTGCTGTAGCTCTGCTGTGCGTGGATACAGGGTTGGGAAGTGGAGGTGGTGGGTCATCCTGAGGAGGATGCTCTCACCCTAGTTGCTAAACCTGGGAGACTTTTTCCCATGCTACTCATTGTTAGCAAGTGCATGGGGAGTTTTTCACCTCCATACTGGCCAGACATGAGTCAGCCATTACCTGGAAGTCTGCTGCTGTCAGCCCTATGCTGAGTCTGGGCTACCAAGTCTCACAAAGAAGCTGGACAGATGACCTCCGGCAAGGGCCATCCTAACACCAAGACATAACTTGCAGCCAGCTCAGGGCAAGGACAGAGCACCTGCCTGCAAAAGATAGCAGAAGCATATCTAAGACTGTCACCCTCCCATCCACAATGAGTTAATCCTTTATTTATCCTCTTGCAGAATTAATCTTTGCTATAAAAACAGAGATCTGCACCACCTAATTCATGCACCTTCCACCTGATGCTGAGCTGCCCAGCACAGTGCTTATTTTAGAAACATCACCATAACCCTCATAATAGCAGGTAAATCATTAGAAAGAGATGAAGCAAACTGACAAACCGGCAGTGTGAATTTCAGACAGTACGAAAACTATTAAAGAGACTTTGAGTCAGCTATAGATTAGTAAAACGCTCTATGTATTACAAAAAGCGTCAAAACCGAAAGGACCAAAAAAAGGGGGGAGAGGATAAGGAAGAACATATATACAAATGTGAAAGGAGATTAAAATCACAGTCTTAAGTGAATATTCAGTGTAATTCTTTCCAAAAGGAGAGTCGGTTCATGTGTCAGAACAGGAATGCATTAATGCCAACTGTAATATTTTCCCCCTCTAGATATATAAGATGCTGCAATATGAATGTTAATACAATTAATGCATATTACAACTGAAGATATAAATACAGCTGGCATAATCTGCCAGCAATATATCTTAAAATATATGTGGGAAATGGAAATGGCAAACTGCTGGGTTAGCTCAGAAAGAACAAAGCTTAGTTGAAAGGAGTGCAGAATATACGTTACAATCCTTCTCACCTTGTTTCTACAAAAATAGAACATGTCCAAGTACAACAAAAAGAAAGAACTGAAAAGGTGTTGGAGCACAGATTAATCTACCCTGAATTTGCTGCTCCTCGGCTGTACTCTGGCTTTATGCATCATAGCACAAAGCAACTCGCACTGTACCAAGTTCAGTAGGAGGTGTAGGAGGCAAGGCCTGTTTGAAGCTAAGAGCAAACAGGAGGCCAAAGTCCAACATTACAATTTCAATAAGTATGAATGAAATGCCCTAAAATATTACACAAAGATGGTAAAAGTACTTTTCATTGTCATTCCTGAGTTCACGCTAAAAGGAGTAATACAAAGAGAACAGCTGGGCTTTTCAGAAAATGCTTTGTCCGTGTCACTGAAAAAATCTAAAATGAGCCCGTTTAATCTGGACAGACCGCGACACCTTCAATGGCGAGTTATGAAACTACATGCTCAGTGGCCTCTTTCTAGAGCTTCTTGACCCAGGGCTGCAGAAAGGTGGCGAGGCTGGGGGAGAAAAATGCTCAGGACCACATTTTCAGGTGATACCTCTTTTGGACTTCCTTCCTTCAGGGGTCATGCTTTGAGATGACTCTTGGCTCCATCTTATTTTCAGGGTGCTGGTCATCTCCTGACTCAGCTGGTATGCACCAGTGCAAAGGCAGGAGGCCTGGAACCTCCCACTAAAATGTAGCCCTAAGAATTCACCCCAGAGCCTACATTTCCAAACCATGAGGGGTGACTCACAGAATGAAGCAAAGGCAGAAGCACTTTAGCTCAAGGCATTTGTTCCTCTGTGCTAAGCAGTAGGCAATTGTGCCTCTCCAAAGACAGTATACAAGAATTCAGCTGTACTACAGAAGATTTTGGGAAGTCACATGCTTTCTTCTCTTTTTTTTAAAAGTCTGTGAAAGAAAACAAAGGTTAAGTGTCCAAGGTGAGCCACAGTGTGAGCTCAAGTTGTGCTACATCCTCATTCCATCTTAAAACCAGTATAGTGGTTGACTGCTTTGGGATAAGTATCTCTAATTTTCCACCTGCAGCAGCCTGGGATGATGGCTCTGTCTTCCAGAAAGAGCCAAAGCGCCAGTGAATGTATTGCTTGTAAGCAAGGTGACGCAGCTGGTTGTTGATATTGCCATCCGTCAAGTCCAGAAAGGGTCTTTGTAGAGAAGGGCTTTCTTCAGGGTGTGACTGGACAGCACCAGCTGATGAAACCAATGGGAGGTTGTGATGCACTGCCCTTTTTTCCTTCAGCAGCAGAGCTGCTCATGGTACTTCTGTGTTGGCTGGCATTTGCCGCAGCAGCACCACTTTTGGCAGTCTGGGGAAGAGGCCCCTTGTCTGAAAGGCTGCCCCAGCTCGTATTCTTCATTATCATCGTTCTTGTTGGACTCACTGGTGGGCATCAGCTCGCATTCTTCATTATCACGGTTCTCGTTGGACTCACTGGTGCAGCAGCTGCCAGCATCACAGAATTTCACAGGGTGGCCCTGCAACAGCAATTCCCAACATATATTAAAGAAAACAGCATTTGCTGCTTCATCCAACTGCAGAGAGAATTTACAACAGTGATCCTCACCATTGGGTTTTTCATTTGAGAGAGCACAATAGGGATAATGATGATAGATCAGCAGATCTGGAGGAGGATTGTCTTTCTGTGTTGCCAACGCCCACCCTAGCAAAATCGAATCGACACCTCGCAAGTTGTTTCAACACCAACGCACTCCCGCTGGCACATACCCACCACAGGAAAGCTGCAATTTTTAGCTGACTCTAGAAAATACATCCTCTGGTCACAAGACCTATTAACTTGAAGCGGACAATAGGAATCTAGTTTTAGCCCCTCAGAATCTAATCTGCAAATATGGGGGGGGGTAGAAACCCAAATCAGTTTGAAGTGACATTCCTCAGTTCTCCCTTCTGAAAGGAGGATACCAAAGGTTAAGTGTCTGTCTTTACCTCAACAATGCTGCCTTGAGCGTGCTGCAAGCTTGTTTTCAGAGGTAACGTGTGGCTCATCAACACAGGACACATACATCACTTGTGCAGCAGAAGAAATGAGCATTGTCAGTTGGAGTAGTTACTTGGAGAACAAAGCAACAAAGCAACAAAACACAGCATAGATCTGACCTCAGGGCTTGGGTTCTGCAGTCTGTACTCCAATAACAATCCCCTGCAACTGCATGTTGCAAGGGCCCATATTTCCAGTATCTGGAACAGCAAGGACATGGGGAGCTGCGGGGACAGAGGGAGCAGGAAGAGATGGTATGGAACTACCTGTAGCAGTGTGGTTGTGCAGGGCCTTTAGGTACTCTTCACGCTTCTTTAAAAACACACATCTAAAATGCTGGGGGATTAGTAGAGGCAGCCTAGAGAAATAACTATTAACGTCTTGCAAAAGAGGAAGAGGCAAGTGAAGTTGGCAGGGAAGAGGCTTTGAGCAATGCCCTCTTCATGGACAACCCTTTCATGACATCCTCCTGCTGTTTCGAAGGATCACTATTCCCTGCAGGCTTCCCTCATAGAGCTGGTGTGACTCTGCCATGCCAAGGTTGTGTGTAGAGCCCATTGCACTCATGCAGTGTGTGCCGTGCACAGCTCCATGGAAGCTTCCTGGATCACCTGCATTTTTATATCCATAGAGCAGCAATTTACGTTCTTTACCTATCTTGGATTCAGCACAGTCTCATACTTTTTACTGTTGTAAATTTTGTAGAATGGTGATTTGCCGCAGCTGGAGCAATTACCTACACCAATAGCAATTTCAATGGCACTCACAACCTGCACATGAAAAAAAAGCAAGTAGAGATTCCACTTTCTTAATGAGACTGTATCTCCAGAACTGGTTTTATTAACACAAAAAAGAAGTCTCTTACCAAACCAAAATAGGAGATCATGGACCCAATGTTTTTAGTGAGTTCAATGCTGTTAAATTTTCTATCCTTAAAGAAAGCAGAAAAGAATAACCAGGAGGCAAGATCTGTTACTGCTCATTCAACTTAATGGCTTTTCTCTTTTTGTCTCTTCACAATGTATCTGTCTCTTTACAATTCAATCAATCCCAAAATTTCATAGACCATCTCAGACACTTTCCAGGGCAGAATAAACAACTTGAGAGGGAAACAGTGGTGACACATGGGGTTCATGACAATAACATCATGTCATGATGATACCTGTTATTGTCTCAGTCTTAAACAACAATCCTGCCTCTCTCCCAGCCCTGCCATTTCATCCTCAGCTTTGCTCTCCTATGCTGCTCAGTTCAGTTCAGATCTACTCACCTGACATGACTTCCATCCCAGAACGATGCACAGGAGAGAGGAGAGGGGTATATGGCAGAAGTGGGGCTAATGAAATAGCAAACTTTCTTCTCCCTCCACAAGGAAAAAGAATTGCATTTCCTGGGCCGAAGACAAGGACATCAAACCGTATTGCTTTGAAAAGGGTTCTCTGCTCCTTCCCCTGTGGTAGTTTGTAGTACCTTGCATATCTGCCAAAGATTAAATGAAGATCCGTGCAGCTTCCCTGGGGGATATAATGCCATGAGGCTGCAAAACACAAAAAGAGGCGTAGATTCTTCTCCCTTCTTCCTCCAGCCCTTTCAGCCTTCTGAAATGAAGGTGCTGAGGCCAGCTTGATGAACAGTATTTTGCCCAGCATCTGACCTGGCACGCTAAACTACATTAATACATATATAGAGATTTAGACAAATTAAAAATCCAACTAATGTCCAATGAGTATTTTGCTGTCTCAATTCAAACTGAAACCTGAAGCTGCAGAAAGAAGTTCAATCACAGGTAAAGCAGACAGAAAACTCCAGCAAGGATATGTGAGGAGCTGGCAACGACAAGAGTGCCCATGCTCTGAAGGCTTTAATATCATGTTATCCAAGACCAACTCTGAACTCATAAGCACACTTCAGCATGCTGGATATCAGCCATTTTCCATTCTTCGATCAGTAGAGAGTGGCAAGAGTCATGTGAGCCTTTACTAACTTCCAGTTTCTTATTCTATCAAGAACATGACCCTCCTGATGCACAGCTTACATCACCTTATGGATCAATAAGCAGTCACAGAGCATGGAACAAAGAGATCTTTTTAAATCTGACAATGAAAAGCTGACAGTACAGACAAAATCATTACATTAAACTGAAAGACATACTAAAACACACAATGGTACTAATATTCAACCGCAGATAACAATACCCATATGTCTTCTGCTTCAGACACGCTGTCAGGTTTTAAAGTGCTGTATTGTTCTTGACTTGTTTAGTTGAGTGATCTCTAAGTCCTGTTCTTCATTTAGATAGATTATTTATTATTCTGTCCCTTAGCCGAAGGGACAGAAAGTCAGTTCCAGGGGCGGCAGATACTCACAGATCACTCTGTCATTGCTAATCAAAATTTGTTTTATAGTTGGTTGCCTGTTCAAGTACTGAAAGAGTAAACTGTTTAAGAGGATATGTCTGGTGTAAATGCCATCAGCTCAGCCCTCTGCTTTCTAGCATCTCCAGGTACTCATTCAGATGATAGAGACATCTAAAGAAAAATACATTTTTCTCCTTTCCTTTTTCTTTGGGTTCAGTCCCTGCTGCTCTGCTTTGCCATCTTGATGCTAACAAACAAGCCCAGAGCAAGCTTTTACTTGATTCCACTCTCTCCTGCACATCCTACTGCAAGCTAAGTTTGGCAGACTTTCAGAGTGCTTTTAATCAGAGTTCCCTAGATCATGCGATCATTTGCTTCCCGTTCACTGCGATCTAATTTGTGTTCTCTGAAGGCAGTGAGTCACTCAGAAAAACACATTGTAATGTGTTCTGCTTTCTTCTTGCTTGCACAGACATGAAATGCCCTTTTTCCTGTGTTGAACGGTTCCACGGTCTGTGGCCAAGACACGTTTTATTGGCCAGCTCTTAGCCTCTGAAGCCTGCAGGTCAGTTAGGTTGTCTTTGAAAGTTTTCCTAACTCTTTCCAGGATCAGAGGTTTTATCTAGCCCTCAGGGTAGAGGTTATTTCACATCTGCTCTTGATGGCACAGAAGCCTTCTCCTCTCTAACAGCTTTGTGCTCAGAGCTGACCTGTTAAGAGCTTTCTTGATCACTAGCTGAAGCTTTGCTCCCTTGCACCTCAAGTAGTTCTTTTCTTTTGAAAGGCTAAAGCCTGTTTCCATTTAAGTCTACTGCAAAATTCCCTTGGAACTGAGATTAAATCAATAGGGCTCCCTGCAGACAGAGGTTATAAGTAGCTTTCCTAACTTCTAGGACAGCTAGACTGCAGGGGAAGCAGCATTCTATATGTGCCCGGTTTCTCATGCTCTTTTCCAACATTTTCTCCTGCTATTGCTCTTTGTTAGCTTTAAGACACTGGGCTGGATGGACCTCTGATATGATAACATTTTACATTCTTATGACATACCACTGATGTCAAAAAAGTTTTCCTGAAATGTATTAATTGTAGGATTATTTCTAGCTCTCCCCCCTTACTCATTTGGGTAGTTCTACTGAAATCAGCAGCTCAGTTTATACAAGTTGGCATACACTAGCTCAACAGTGTAGCAGGCTTTGTGCATGTTCTTCGCCAAAACATCCATGCTTTTTTTAAATAGCATTATGCTCAATCTATTTACTGCTCTTCAACTTTCACTGTCTTTGCTTTTTAAATCGCTGTACTGAACTACTCTGCTCCTCTTTTTTAATTTTGGAGACATTAGAGAATGACATTTCTTTGCCAGTAAACCCCTCGATTAACAGATACGGAGTCAGGCCACCAGGATGTGGTCTGGCATCACGCACACTTTCCCAGCAGCCTATGTTCTCAGACCAGGCTCACTTCCTGCAGCAGAGATTTCAGCTGAACTGAGCAAAATAATCTTGCTACAGACTGGTATTTTGATGCTTAAAAGAGAACAATTTTTGGGCAAACCCATTCTTGGCATTTTGACCTCAGCTGTTAATCTGATACTAAACATCCTCAAAACTACTCCACTGTCTTCTTCCAAAAGCCTTCTCAGAAACTGCTTTGCCTACCAAAATTTATTCAACAGAAAGGTTGCTGGCCTCAGCCTCACAGCAGTGTCTTGCTTTTTCCTTGTGATCTCCCCCACCTCCTGTCTGTGGTTGCCAGGTCAGAGGGAACACCTATTTGTTCTTTGTTTGTACAGCTCCAGCACAATGCAGTGTTGGAATACGCTGGCAGCTCCTCAACAGTTATGGCACTTATGTTAGCATCACAAATGTATGAAAATACATAATGTAATAATAATCACGCTGAGAGTCAAAAAAAGAGTGTTGTTACACAAGAGTTTTGACCCAGATCTGAGGGACAACTTTAGTTTTAAACATGCTGAAAAGCATTTGGCAAATGCTTTGTGCAACTATTTAGAACTGGAGTCACATCAAGACTTTTTGTCGAAACTTCTCATAAATCTGCTATATGCACACAGAACCAAAAGCTCTAATGTGTTTTTGAATAAATCTTGATTCAGTGAACTGTGGGGTTACCCAGATGGAAGAAAAACACTTTGTTATTTTATTTGTGTTAATTGCCTTGGGAAACTCACAAGTTTAGGTAGTTTCAAGCCTCAATTGCCGTATGGTGGAATCTGCCCAAACTATTCTCTGTGTTAGCTCCCAGAATACTTGTTGGAAATTTCTAGGCCTTTTGACAGAGAAATAAAATCTCCTGCAATACAAGCATGCTCATTTGGAAGATGACCATGATGATACATCTATATAACTGTGGTAACTGCAAGTTAAGGACATGACCACAAGACTGAAGAAGAATCAAATGTCTTGTCTTCCAAGTCATCATTCCCCACACCTCATCACACCTTTGCTTCAACTCAGAAAATATGCTACTTGCTTCATATAACAATTTTTACCTGAAGTAGAATCCAGGCTTTATTGTTTTGTCATCAAGGCAGCGGAAACCATACTTTGGACTGCAGTCATAAAACCAGCTGTCCAAGTTACACTCCCAGTTAATCTCAGTGGCAATGATTCCTCCCTAGAAACAGACACAGTAAGCTTAGGGATAGCGCTGTGATGGCTGCCTGTGCTAAACTGCAGTTAAAGTCAGCAGAGACTTGAGGGATGCCATTGGCAGGGACACATCTCTATCGACACGCTAACTCATAAGCAACATTTGCCAATCAAGCAGTCTTCTATGGAAGTGTCTTAGTTACGTGAGCTGGAAGCTACCATTCATTCAGGCTTTTCCTATCTTCTGTCTCTTTCTCTTCATCTTAGTAGCACAAGTGTGGATGCAGCTGATATACTGTGATAGTCATTTCGTTGCTTTAAACTACGTATAGGCTCAAACCAAAAGCCTGAGTGCAAGCCTAAGTTTTGTAGGCACCCAGTCCGAATGTTTCACCTTGAATGCACTGTGCCAGGCTGAGAATCAATAAATGTGGCTCAATTGATGACTCTGGGCAGGATGCTTTGTCTCTGCGTCTATTCTACCCATCTGTTAATACTGACTTTCTAGAGTTATGGCTGGATACTGTGTTAAGGGCATTTGGCTCAATACCCTAAAGAACAGAGTGAAAATGTAATGGCAAAAATAAGTGCTTTTTGACTCTGAATATAAGCTGCCATTTGTGCCAGTCTGACTTTTGGATGATTCCCCCAGCAACGTGATTTAGGATCTGCTTGAGCAGAATCAAAAGATGGCCACGAATGACAGCCTTTTATGGGACCTATTTAAATGCACTGTGCTTTGTAAAAAGGCCTCTATATGCTACAATACTAACAAAATAATATCAGCTCTGTGAACATGGGTCCCATCCTGTGAGATGTTAAGCACATTTAATTCTTGAAAGTTGGGGTTACTTTGCTTCTCATACAATCAGTTTCTAAACCTAGAACAATTCCATTATACGGCAGACAGCAAAATATGCAGGAAGAGAATCAAGAAAATCTTTTAATACTGAGGATGAAAAAAAAGTGGTATCACAGACCTTTACTGCTACCTCAGAAAAATTCTCTTTTGCTTCTTGAAGGATATCTCCCAGATGGAAAATTGGACAGAGCGGGGAAGTTATCTTGTTGTATGTGCAGGAAGTATTTAAATTTGGTGGAATATTGTGTGAAGAACACACACAATTGTCTAAATTTAAAAACAAGCTGGAGCAGCTACAGATACAGGTAAGGGACTTCACACTTACTAGAACCTGTGTTAAATGTGCTCGGTTTGTAAGTATACGAGCTTTTGGTTTTGTAGCTACCAGATCTATATATCCCTAACTGGGATCTGGGAATCAAGATGAATTCTTTACTCTTTGGATATTATCACCAACAAAATTTTACCTGTGTAAACTAAAAAAATTTCACCTTATAATTTGATTCACACGACTGTTGTGCTATATTTTAGGGATTTTGCCCTAACATAAAGCAGTATATCTGAACGAACAATCCTGTTGTCCAGTGCATGAGAGAAATAGAGTTATGCTGGGAGGCTCTGTTCCCAAGCTCTCCTTATTTCTCTTGGTTTCTTGGAAGGATTAATAGGGCTGAAGAATTATAGAAACTTGATATTTGTCACTCAGGCAGATACAGCCCTGAATGCATAGCCTTTTTGAGTAAAGAAGGTGCCAATTTATACAATCTTTTTTTCAGAGCACAACTCCTCACTCTTGAGAAAGCATTGAGGAATGTTTGCACTTACATGGTATAATTAAATTTCGGGAAGTGAATGTTGTTCTTTATTAGCACAGTGAAGTCTTCAGAACTCGTCAGAACAGCAGGCCTAAAAAAGAAACATCAAATTAACTAACTTCTTTTACTTAAATACATCAGTTAATGTTATGCTACTTTACTATTACCTGGAAAGCTGTCAGTAGGAGGAATATGTTGCTAAGAATAACAGATTGAAATGCAGGGAGTTAGGTGGCTCAGGGGATCCAGAAAGATATAGGTGGTTTTCTTAGTTTTAGGTACAAATTGTTCTCTCTCTATTGCACTTGTTTGTGTGGGCCAAGCCTAACTGGAGTCTCTACATGCAGCTGAAATATGATCTCAGGAAACTTCTCATATAAATCTTGTTACGGAATAGTAGTAAGAAATTACACCATTTGACAGCTGATGAGTTCTGCACAATGAATTGGCAGTTTCATTGCTGGTCCCCATAGACAGGTGGCCATTTACACCAATCACATCACCAAAGGCTGTCCTGCCTTCCTAGCAGATCAGGTTTGAGGACCTCCCCTGCAGTGGTTTGTGTCACAGTGGTTTGTATCACTAAATAAGTAGGTGGAATGCAAACACAATGGAAAGCAGGCTGCCAGACTGACCCTTCCTAAAAAGATTGACTTCTCTGAAGCTAATGTGGCAGGAAAGAAGGAATTGTCCCACAAGTTGCCAGCTGGGTAACCTTAGCCTAGACTGTGTGAGACTACACTCCAGGACTTGCCAGGGCTATAGGAAAGTAAGAGATACAACTTTTAGCATTGTTTGTCTAGCATAGGGACTATGCTGAACTGGAATATTGGTATTGTTCCATTTTAAGAATGAGCCAGGAATATTTTAATTTCCATCAAGACAGCCATTCCAAGGGGGAAATCCAGTCTTCAAAGCAGTCATCCACATAAAGGACAGTGCTTCTAAGCAGGGAATATTTTTCCTATGATTGTATTTTGAGCAATGTCTCTGCATCATGGCCTCAAGTTGCGCCAGGGGAGGTTTAGATTGGACATGAGGAAAAATTTCTTTACTGAAAGAGTGGTTCAACATTGGAACAGGCTGCCCAGGGAAGTGGTTGAGTCACCATCCCTGGAAGCATTTAAAAGATGTCTATGATTCTATGATTTGTTGGGTCGATAGTTGGACTCGATGACTTTAGAGGTCTTTTCCAACCTTAATGATTCTATGATTCTATGATTAGAGATCTGTGATGACAAGAAGCACATTAGCTGGATGACATGCAGCTTTCATAAGGGACTTCTCATGAGTGTCTTCTAAACCATGTCAACGAATAAGACTTATTTGCAAACCAAATTAACATTTGTGGATGCTACCTGGACAGGAAAGTCACTCATGAGTCTCAGTGTATAACAGTCAAGACATTAACAATGTACGTTAATCTTTAAAGAACTAAAAATCAATGAACCTATAATGTGAATCTATCCATAATTCATTCACTGGGAAGCATCTGGAAGCATCTGGAATCTGATCCAAAGCTCTTCTGAAAAAGGTTTAAACACCTGTCCTTCAGCCAGCTAATCTGACAACTGTGCCCTGCCTCAGGCAGAAATGATCAATCAAAAATCAAAGAATCTTCTTGCCAACATGCAAGAAGCTTTGTTCAGCTCCTGCCATAACTAACAGGAAGGAAAAGGAGGCCTCCTGTATAGTTCATGAAACTTACCTTTCAAAGGAATTTGGACAATAAAGACAATCATGGGTGTAACCAAAGCCCAACATTGCTACCTCAGTATCTCAACCAGATGGCAAAGCTTCCTGGGCTCTGACCTTGGTCTTATGTATCGTTCTGGTAGACAATAAACACTCAGCTTTGCTTTTTAGCGATTCCTCATTTTTTCCTTGCCAGTGGAACTTGTGAAGGAACTTTATACTTCAGAGGTTTGGATCAAACCTCTCATCCATTATTTTTGGTCCCTGGTAGTGACCAACTACTGGCACTTCAGAGGAAGGTTAGGAAACAAGACAGAATGTGTCAATTGTGAGATGTAATTAAAAGCAAAATTCCCTCTGTAACATATGCAGCAGTGAGCCTACACAGTGTGACATTTAAAAATGACTGGCAGTCACTGAAACTTTATAAAAAACCCCTAGGATTTCATTAACTCAGGAAGCTCATGCATATCTTTCCCGGATGCTGTATGAACAATTACAACCTTCCTGTTGTTGGACAAAGCCTTTTTCAGATCACAACTCTGTCCGCAGGAGAAGGGAATGGAAATTCCTTTAAAGAGCTGAAAAAAACTCAGCAGAAGGAGCTGTAGGAGGCATTGTGGGCTCTGGAGGGGACCTGGCAGTGGAAAAACTGCTCAGTCTCTGCAGAAAACCCTGAATTAGGGAAAAGATGGGATATATACATAGAATCACGCTTGTATCTTTTAAAAGCAGTGAGTTAATAAAAGTGATAATTGACCTAGTTTCCTACACATATGTTTCAAAGCTGGTTGAGAGAAGCTAAAATTGATCAACATTTGCTCCCTTAGAGTATAATTTCCATCATTTCAGTTGAAATAAAATCTTTTATAAAATTTTTTCATGCTTTGGCTGATACAGAATAGAAATAGAACACTTTCACCTTGGAACACTGTACAGTCATGGGGTTACAACAAAAGATGGCTACGAGGCTGCTCCATCCTAACCTCTAGGTCACAGCAGCATTGGTCCGTGGAGTCTTTTTCCTAGAGTTTTCTTCAGGTCACTATTACAGATTGCCAGCATTGAGGTTTTCATCATCTACCTAGAGAGGATGAAGAGACTGTTCTTCAATCTGAGGTGGATCCCCAAACACTATCCTGCAGCACAATGTACAGACAACCAATCTAACCCTACTGTTCTGGGAGGCGGAAGCAACCTCGCTGTGAGAAATGAACCCACAAAGAACTTCTACACCATAGAGCCCTAAGCCTTGCAGAAGAAAACCCCAAGTCAGGAAACTTTTTATTTCTATCACTGATTAAACCTGTCTTACGTTGATGCATTTTCCTCGGCATTTGTATTAATGAGTCAAATGCCTCTAGTGAATTCAAGATGAGCCTGTGACATCTAAAACTGTTTGTATGGCAGCTGCATGATGATACAAACTGGAGACTATGACTTCACTGCAGAATCATACAGCAGGACAGATTGTTAGAAGTTATTTAGATATTATAATGAGTGTTAACAGTATGGCTATGAAGGAAATAGCTGTTTCACATACATGAGATCTATATGTGCCTAGGCAAAGGGATTATCCTAAAATTTCATGACTTTGTCAAAGTAAATCCTTCCTTTGACATAAAAAAATGCAGATATATCTTTCACTTACTCAGGGAGGTTTTTCATGGATTCCACAGGGCACCATGCCTTGACCTTACAGGTTTTAACTGTTGCATTATAATTCACACATCTTCCTGCTTGAATTCCTGTAGAGAAACAAGCTCTTACTCAGCAAAGGCAAGAGTTTTTCACTGATTAGAGACAGTTTCAACATGTCAGTGGATTCCTCCTCAAATGTAAGATAGGGAGCTTGGCATTTCAGATTGTTGCAGCTTTCTATAGGAGGAAGCTGTAGGAAGAACTACCCAAACCATGGTCCTGCCACACCTCATTAATCCTCATTTAGCTGTTTGCTTGGGTCAACAGTGCTTGTCATTGTTTGGGCTGAGGGTGAGGTAATTTCCTTCACAGTTTTATATGAAGTTACATATCTGAGTCTTGGGATAAATCAAGAAACCAACTGTTTCAGTCAGAAGTTTAATTCAACAATGTGAGTAAATTAAACAAGGATATAAAAGTGGGCAGAAAACCTTAATTCTTTCTGCACTCCTGGAAAGTCAGCATTTTCTGTGAGCATTTAGTCTTTACCAGGGAAAGTGATAATCCAGCCAGCAGCCCAAATTCAGGGAATCTCAGCACTACAAAGGACTCACATAGCTGATGAAAACAGTATGATGCCTTCTGGACAACTAGTCCCAAATAAAGGACACAAGTCCCCTGACTTATTCTGAGAACTACCTAACCATCATAGGAGTGTTACAGACCCTTCAAACAGATCCTGCAGTCACTCCATTTGCTAAGCAGCCACGGACTTCAATGGGAGTGACTGTGAGATCAGCCCTCATTCACACCAGTCTGTACTCTTCTTCACCTCTCCCCTTCCTCTGCTCCCTCTCACTGTTTCTCCTTTTAGCAAGGGCACACACAAGCTGATAAGAACTCAGTTTTGTGGTTTTGAAAATATGTTCTCAGATATCTCTTAGGATTCTGTACTGTTCTACTGCAGTTCTCCAAGTTGGATCTTGCACATGCTGCACTGGTCAATAATGCAATAGAAGATAGTACCCACAAAAAAATATTTTGATCTGAAAATGCCATTTACGTACCATGACTGTGGATATCTACACTCCCTTTTTCACAGGACTTGTCTGAAGAGCAGATAGCTTTGGCGAAGGGATACTGGGAAAAAAGTTACATAAAAGAGTAATATAAATATCTCCCTCTTCACACCTATGTAAAAAGTCTTACTCAGCTTCAATGTAAAAATACCAAATAATAAGAGAAAATAACCATGCAGAGCAGGTATAACCCTTACTAATTATTTGGCTTATAGGAGGTAAAGGCTCAGCTACCTGCAAAAACAGAAAAAAAGCCCTTTCCTTGCTTACAATAACATTTTCCTTTATTATTTAAGTCTTTTCCTGTTTTTCACACTCTCTTCTATACTATTAAGCACAATAAATTTAATACTGGACTATTTAATTCTTTGCTTACTAACAGTCCCATATACTTTTGCCAGTGAAAGTCAACTTGTATTTGGGAACTCTCTGCAAGGCCCCACTTCTAGGCCAGCCAAATGAAGAGGAGAGCTGCAGCTGACAAGCAGGTTTGACCTACAGAAAGGAAGGAAGGGGACATGTAGGAATGGGCAATAGTAATAGTAAGAGCACCATATTAGCAGAGAAGCTGATAGCAATTCTGCAGCTCCATCATTTCTTCAGGTTTTCCTCAAAAGCAGCAGCAATGCCAGAGAAGCTGGACAGCAATCACTGGCCTGAATGTCATCACCTCCTGAAAGTGATGCAGATAGGTTTGGCTGCAAGGTCATTGGTGCAAGGCAAAGTCACAACTGCCAGCTGATTCCCCGAGAAAGAAAAGGAGCAATTAAACTAGATCTTGCATGTTATCTGCTGAGATACAGACATAAAGAGCAACAGCATTTGCTTGTACTGGACTGCTCCAAAGAGTAAAAGATGTAAAAGAGTCCACTCTTTTACATCAACATGCATTCAATACATCCTAAGTCCTAAGTATAAATCACAAAACGTATTTACCTCAGGGCACCACTGCTCAAGCTGATTCTCTGTCTTAATGATGTTGGCCATCACAAAAAAAGAGTTTAGCACCTACATGGAGGAAAGAATATGAATCTGACTGAAATCTCACATACTTGATTCAGACCTCAGTAATTCCAGAACATAACCTGGAAGGACAACAAGGCTGTTCCTGCTCTACCTCCCCCTCATAGACATTCAGGTTCTACCTGGCTCAAACAGGAAAAGCCAGGGACATCCTCAGGGCAGGAATGAGCAGCCAGAGGCAAGAAGGCACTGATTTTTTTTTTAAACTGGCATTACAACTGAGAAAGATACACTAGCATTAATTGGTAATAACACTACTGTGTTTAGTACAGCTATACTGGAGTAAATCTGTTCCTAGGTTTGCTATTACCAAAACACTAAATTGATTATATAAAAATTGTGTAACAAATAGCACCACAGAAATCTCATAAAAGAGGATAATTTTTTTTCCTTATATTAAGGGAGGAAGGGAAGATTTCTCTTTAAACATTGCTGTCTCCAATGTAACGTAATCGCATTGAATGGTAGGATAGAGACATGTCAGGAAGGCAACCAGATGTATCAATGGAAGTTGAACACTGGACTGACATTAAATTAAGACTTGCCTGCATTGGTATAGTGTATTCTGCTTATCCCGGATCCTGTCGTTTGTGTAAGCCACTCCTTTCACATTAGTGCAAACTGAGCTGTTAACTTCATCCGTCTCCTCATAGAGTCTGTAAGTGATGAGTATACAACTAGCCAGATAAAACAGAAAGGACAAATAAGCCCATAATAATAAAATGAGTCAGCTTCTTTGTATCATTCTTGGACAAAACGCACTGCACGCATAAAGTCAGATGGACATTTTCAAGTCTCTCTCCATTGAGAGCCTTTTTGTGTGAGACACATGCATCGGCTGGACCAAAGTCTGTCTTGGTTTCACTTTTGCAGCTTTTGGCTTTGTCAGAAATTAACGGATATATGCAAGAAGAGAATTTCTATTTTCCCATCCTAATGATATAGACAACATGAGGTGACATCCTGGCCCTTCAGATGCCATTTGTGAAACACCAATTAACTGCAACAGCACTTGATGTCATCCAAAAACTTTCACCCATGCTGTGTACCTAGACTTTTGACTTTTTGTCACAAATGGTAGTGTCCTCTCTGTTGTGGTTTTTTTTTTGAGAGAGAGCTTAAAATACTTAGTCCTTAACTTTCCAGAGTGACTATTTTTGTGCCTCATGCTGATTGCTTAAAAAACCTTGGCCTAATGTTTTCCCTTTCTCATTAATTGTGTTAATAAAAGGAAGAAGGACGCCTCTGTTTTTAAGCTGACAAGAAAGTCATCTAGCTCATCTAACTCATAAAAGCACCGTCAACTTTGAAAAACTATTGCATGTTCAGAAGATACTTTCCACAGTACATGAAAGTGACATAAAAGGTTTGCTTTGAAAAACACGCCACAAGAGCTAGCACCATTTCAGTTTAACAACAGGCTGTTCTGGGGGGGCATAAAATAGTATCTGAAGAACAGAAATACAAAGCAACTGATCAATGTTCCTTTATTTATATCATCTATTATAACAGCATTTCAGCCTTTTCCTTCTGGAGAACAGTGCTTTGGGATAACCATGTTGTTGGAAACTGGCAGTAGGAACCCAGCTCTGAGCAGCAGTATAGTACCCTAGTAAGGCAACTTGAATTTCCTGCAGACTTGATTCTTTGTGAGATTGGGATCAGTGTGCTCAATGTCCTGGCTTGCTGCCCTCCCATGAGAATGAAACCAACTTTATGAACTTCGGCAGACTTTGTTCAGCAAACACTTATCACTGAGAACAGCCCTACTTTGGCAGCAAAGAGGAAAATCTGCCCTTTAGAGGCAATCAATTATTGCATATTCCTAAAACATCTTATTGTTCTTGAAATCTGCTGCAAGGGGTGACTCACCATTTCATCTGACCCTGAATAGGAGACTCTATAGGGCAGACTCTAATCTCAGAAACACTGGTGTAAATCTGAGATTATTCAGTGGAGTTATTTTGGATTTTTCAGACAAGAAACAAAAACAGACAGCATAGCAAGAAACAAAACTGCAAGTGTTTTTTAGAGGAAGCTTAGTTAACTCTGTCCAAGCAACCCCACCTTGTTAGATAACATCCTATGCCACACTCCCACCACACAGTTCTCACAACCACATCCATCTTCCAAGAATGGTCTAACACCAGATCAATGATCTTATGTGCTGCCACAAAATTCAAAGCGCCGAAAGCCAAGTTGTAACCAGACAACTCCCAAGACAAGAAACATTTGCTCATGTACAACACAGCATCCCGTCACCATGCACTTACCAAATAGACAGAGCAACATATAAAGGAAACATTTCACACATCCACATGTAACACTCTGCATGCGTATGTATTTCGAAGAGTCATACTGAGTCAGGCACTCCAGCCAGCCACGTACACCCATCACTAGTGCTTCCTGTGAGGAACTGGCTTTTGAAAACCACAGCTGCCTGGTGCTGTCTTCTTCCACCCCTGCATCGTTCCTCGGTCACCCCACCTAAAGGCACAGTCAGAAACCTGTACGAGAATGGCACCACAGGCCTTGTAAAGAACGGCAGTTGATGGAATCAAGAACTGCCTGAAGAGCCATGTCCTTTGGTTTGTTCACAGAAAAAGCATCAAATTTCACCCTGGAGCTCCAGAGCTTGATTGCTCAGCACTGTTCTTGTCGCCTTCTGTTGACGGCACCATCTCTCCTCAGTACTACCAGACTTTGCCAGTCTGAAGTAACGCTGGGACAACTGTAGAGATGAGGGTACATGGATGGAAGCCAGCATCATGCTGACCTCCTTCTGGGCCTGACTCTCCACCACCCAACACTTCGCACCAGCGCAAAGAAGGTGTAATGCACTTCTGGACTGGGCAGATGCATGCAACACCCACTTCGCAGGGGTGGCAATGGCCATGCAAGGCAGAGGGCAATGGTAAAGCAAGCTTTTGGGTCATCAATGGCCACAGACATCTCTAGCTTCTTATCTCACATTGCATGGGATACCATCCTATTTGGTCTTAGATTGGTTCTATATCAGGTCACGGGATTAAAAGGGAGTGACAAAGTCACTACTCCTCTCAGCAGAGCCAATACATGGCACATACTTTGGCTGTAGCCTCTCCTACTCCACAGAACCATGCACAAGCCAGAGCCGGTCTGTGTGCGCCAAGCCAACTATTTGCTTGGTCCTGGGGGTAAAGGAGCAGGCGTGAGGCCACCATCTGACACTGTAAACACAGGAGGTGGAGCTGTAAAGATGTGAAGCTGTCAAGGTGGGACCTGTAAATCTCAGGCTCAGAGTCTGAAAGACAAGAAGTTTGGATTGGAATCCATTAGACCCAGATTAAAAGGACCAGTGTCCTGGTTGTTGCAAGTAATCTCTCTTGCAACAGAAGACCCACACAGAGACACAAAATATACAAACCCTAC